AGAACACCAAAAGATGAGTATTTTTTTTTACTTGCAGTGCCCCCCACCATAGGTGTTGTCAATATGAAACTAATATATACTTTTTGTTTTTCTTTCAGAGTACCACCCGGATGTGGACGCCACGGACCAAGCCAAGGGACAGATGCCAGAACACCAAAAGATGAGTATTTTTTTTTACTTGCAGTGCCCCCCACCATCGGTGTTGTCAATATGAAACTAATATATACTTTTTGTTTTTCTTTCAGAGTACCACCCGGATGTGGACGCCACGGACCAAGCCAAGGGACAGATGCCAGAACACCAAAAGATGAGTATTTTTTTTTACTTGCAGTGCCCCCCACCATCGGTGTTGTCAATATGAAACTAATATATACTTTTTGTTTTTCTTTCAGAGTACCACCCGGAAGTGGACGCCACGGACCAAGCCAAGGGACAGATGCCGGAACACCAAAAGATGAGTATTTTTTTTTACTTGCAGTGCCCCCCACCATAGGTGTTGTCAATATGAAACTAATATATACTTTTTGTTTTTCTTTCAGAGTACCACCCGGATGTGGACGCCACGGACCAAGCCAAGGGACAGATGCCAGAACACCAAAAGTTGAGTATTTTTTTTTACTTGCAGTGCCCCCCACCATCGGTGTTGTCAATATGAAACTTATACTTTTTGTTTTTCTTTCAGAGTACCACCTGGATGTGGACGCCACGGACCAAGCCAAGGGACAGATGCCAGAACACCAAAAGATGAGTATTTTTTTTTACTTGCAGTGCCCCCCACCATCGGTGTTGTCAATATGAAACTAATATATACTTTTTGTTTTTCTTTCAGAGTACCACCATAAAACATGAAGAAATAAATTTGGAAAGGGAATAAAAAAAATTGCAAGTAGCACACTGTCCAAACTAGAGACTTTATTCATGGACAACGAAAATCAAAGGGCGATAACTGTGATCCCGGACCTAATAGGATAGAAAGACTTAACCAATCTTAATAAAACTTGGTATGACCAAATCTTAAAGAATTTTACGACTGTTGATTAAGTTTCATGGCAATAGAATATATATGATAGACAATATGATTAATTTTATATTCAACTTTGCGTGTTAAATTTTGACGTTAAAATTTAAGAATTTCAACTATCAACATTTGGGACTTTAAAAATTCAAATGTTGCGAAAAAAAACTTTTTAAATGCCCTTATTTTTAATATTTCATGTATTAAAAGCAATAGAATACTCATTTAATGTATCAGATTTATTACAATTATTCAAAAGTCAAATTTATATGAGCCTGTACCTGAAAATAGAGGTTTTAGAATGAAGAGGAGCCTTACATGAAGATGTAATATTTTCCAGCAATTTTAAATTTGTGAAGTTTTTTTGTTATAAATAATCCTGCCATATGTATTAAATATACTTTTAATGGAAAGACAAATTACAAATAGCATATCATATGAGTATAAAATGGTCTTAGGCCAAGTAAGACTGAAAATAATTTAGGGTCAATTTAGGCCGTAGCACATGTTTACATTTAAAAATTCATACTATAGGAAATAAAAATTTGTTTCTTTTTGCTCATTTCTATACTCAGGTGACATGATACAAGAAGTCAAAAGGACTCTTGCATTCAACTTTTTTTGCAGACATTTATATGGTCTGATACAAAGATTTTTCACTTTTCAGTGAAAAACTTGCATACAATTTTAGTCTCAACAGGCATATATTTGAACCACTTGCTATCCTACAGAAGAAAAGAAAGATAGTATGTGAAATGAAACAGGTACAAAAGACATTGTAAAGTGCTTTTTATACAAATTTAGTGTAATGTTCATTATGGACTTCAACTTTTATGTACCAAGCTCCTCACATTTTACTTGCTTCAAACAGGCCGTTAGACGAGGACCATTCACACAACACATTTTGTCTGTGATAATCTACTTTTCTCTAGATTCAGAGTTCACATATGATTAAAGCCTAGAAACACAAATATTGACACACGAAAACCTGTCAGATAGAAAGTCAGAATGCCACTTATGCATAAAAATTGAAAAGGCTTTGAAATGCTTATTTTGACCATATAATGCCAAAATGGGACATTTTTGCAGAATTTCTATCAAATAAAAGTTTAAATCCTTTAGTTTCATGCTATTTGACAAATTGGCACCATAAAATCATTCAGGGAAGATGCCAAAGTACAGATTCTATATTTACTGATTTCATCTCTTAGGCGAACACAGTTATTTCGTAGTGCATTTCTTTTAGACAATAAATGAAAATTTAAAAAATCCCACCTGTGCTTTCTCAATAATATTTTTACAGTGTGGTGTACTACTTTTGGGACAAATTATATCAAAATTATAGAAAACTTCATCAGCTCTTAACTCAAAATATGGACAATTTTATGTTAAGGGTGGTCTTGAATTCTTTTGACAGCTTCCGAAATACTAATTTTTAACCTTTTTTAGCTGGACCAAATCACTACTTTACTTTAAAATTCATGACCCAAATTTTTTTACAGTGTAATTTCATCCCCTTACTTGCTATTTGAGGCATAAAACATGAAGAAATAAATTTGGAAAGGGTATAAAACAAAATTGTAAGTAGCACATTGTCCACACTAGGGACTATATTCATGGACAACGAAAGTCAATGGACGATAACTGTGTTCCCGGACCATATGTTACATCCTATATTTGTAATTGTACAGTTGTAGCACTGTCATGACTATTATGTAAAGAACCACCATATCTGATTCTGACAATTTGAAGAGAGAGACCGACAATTAAGGATCATAATCAGCACTAAATAGTAGCTACATTATATATAATCACTATCAAAAAAACTTTACTTGTCAGCAAAACGTAGAATATAATGAAAATAAGAAGAATTTGACCTTACCTGACTTCACATTTGTTTTCCACCGCTTCCTATATCCGGTGGTGATGATACACAGTGGTCATATAATGCACTACATTTCCTCTTAATGTTTTAATAGCCAAATACTATGAGTGCTTGGATTTCCTTTATTTTGTTGAAAAGACCTCTTTATCTCTTTGCCTTTTCTAATGGGAGATAACTCAAAATATTTTTTTTACTCTTGTGGAAATCTTAATTATTTCATAATTTCCATAGTTTTCCAGTATTAATAAACACCAGAACAAATGTGTGCATTCCTTCATTTAGACATTTGTTCCATTCTTATTGACATGAGCCTTGTACAAAGTGTTTAAAAATAGTGAAGGTAAAAATAATAGTTATGAATAAACTTTTATTTATTGACACTGATATTTGATATCCCATCCAGTATTCCAGTTTTACTATTTGAAATCATTTTAAAATATTTTCCTAATTTTATTAACTTTTTAGAATATTTTCTAACATTTTTCACTGTATCGCTAGATTTTTTTCTATATCCACAGTATAATTCTGTTTACTTTCCCACGATATATATCCCAATTAAACATGTGCTGAGTCTTTATATTAGATCCAGAAATTTGTGATTTTTGATAATTTCCAATATCACATTCAAAATAGTGTCCTCACTTTACACATTTTTTGGAATATTTTTTTTTTTGATTTTGCACTATATCACTTGATTTTACTAGATCCACAGTATTCAGTTTTTATTGCATTTTCCATGAAATATGTCCCAATTAAACAATATAAGATCCAGGATTTTATAATGATTATTTCCAATATCACATTCAAAATTGTTATTCTCACATTATGAATTTTTCAGAATATTTTACTTTTATTTTTCACTTTATCACTAGATTCACTGTATTCATATTTTACTTCATTTTCTAATATATATATCACATTTAAACAGGTGAATCATCTTCATATTAGGTGCAGAATTTTTTAATGATTATTTTCAAAATCACATTTAAAAGCCACAGAAACATGTTGGATAAACTTATTTCTTCTACTTGCATTCCAGTTTTGAATATTTTTACCTTTTAGATTAACTAAATTCCACCTTTTTCATGTATAAGCCACACAACACATTTTGAATGAATCATTTCCTCCTTGATAAATTCATGACAATCCATTCTAAAAAAAACAAGTCACATTTTAAGAAGCAAAATTATATGGCATCTTAAGAAGTGAATTCAAATAAAATAAATCCCAATATATTATGCACATTGATTCCAAAAGATTTCAAACACTTTGAATAATATTCCAAATGAAAAATTTGAACGGATATTTGTAGTAATGCATAACATATCCATCTGAAAACTTAAACTGAAAACACCTGAATAGCTACTTCTTGTTTCACTGACAACTTAGGACAATACCATGTATAAGGGTTAAAAATTTAAAGATTCATATATTATGTAAAAACAGTTTTCATTTTCATACATGTTAGCATGCAGTTAAGAAAATCTCTTACTGATTTAGATTTTTGGGTCAAAATTAAATTAATCATTTATATTGGGGATTTAAAACAATGAAAACCAATAATATGTTCTTCCCTATCAATTTTATAATAGAATAACCCTAGGTGAAGAAAAACTTCAGGAAAAAAGCATGCTGCAAGGTTGAGTTAGGTGAATAAAAAAAAACAGTACAGGTGAGCATCAAGGTAGACTCAACTCTAACAATACCAACTGGTCAATTTAAATGTCCCAGTTGTATTGTCAATTGAACAATAGGTAAAGGTAAATAGTCAAAGTCGCAGTAAACTATTTTAAGTTAGATAACTTCACATATATGAATAATTCAAATAACCTGGAAAATGAGGTCCAACCAAATTTTTTAAATTTTAAAGCTGTTGATAGAATTTTTCAAAAATTATGTCATAAAAGGTTTCACTTGAAAAATAAAAAAGGGGAGATAATAAAGTTAGGCCAATTAAAATAAATTGATAGATTTTCATCCCCGCCCGCCCCTCTGAAATCGTCCCGCCCCGATTTTTTTGATTTTTTAAAGATTTACGATTTCCGTATTTTGTTCATTTCCGTTACCTGTAACCGGCGATAATTTCGTTTCATTGAAAAACTTCCTGTTTCAAATTTCAGTTTTCGAGTAATATGATAATACATGTATAACCAAAATGATTAATTCGACATATTCTGCTGCTTAATGATGACAACATTATCTTCTGAGAATATAGATTGATTACTAGAAGGGCATGAAATATTCGGGTTACGAGTAATAGGCGGTGTCCCAAGAACGCTAATCGCGGTATGTCACAAATTTCAGTGATTAAAAAACCGTTGATTTTTTTATTTATACAATGACTATGTGTCAGGGAATTTGGACTGTGAATAATACCCAAAGCGCAAGAATCGTGGAACACATTGGTACAAAAACATGACTGGAATAAGTTAATTGACACAAGCACGAACTTGTGCGATTTATGACCGTATATTTCGAGTACAAAGAGTCTTAGTCATGTGAGTTCGTGGTCTAGTGGTTAAGACCGATGGCTACAGTGCTGAAGGTCCCGAGTTTGATTCTCACTCGGGGTGCTTAAAATATCAGTACATCAGAAGGGTGATTTTCACCCTCTCACACACATCTCTGGTACCCAGACCGGTGTTTAAACTAGAATGGGTACTATGGGGGCCTCGGTTGGTCAAAGTTGCTCCCGACTTTGACCTGGAGATCAATCTGTTGATATCTCTTCGGTTTGTCTGTTCCCGTTGAGCAGCCCTGTGGTTCTCTCCATGTACTTCCGCATCCTCCACCATAATAACAGATCCGCCCGGTGTACTAACACTCCCTGGTGTTGGGGTGGGGATTGTCCTTGTAAATATTGAACATTGTAAATACGTTAGTGACACATCTCCATTAATCCCGATAGGGAGTGTACACGGATTCCACTGTACCCTCGCAGCTCTCGAGGGGTGCTCCATAAACGGAGGGATCTACGTACATACATACATACATAACCCAAGGCTGTCGTTTTTGTTGACAAACAGCAAACTCCCTCTGTCCCCAGCCCCTTAATAGAGTCATTAAACAACTTTTTTGGTTCAGTTCATGTTTTAGATTGTAATTATATTTGCACCTTGTATAAGAATCTTCAAAGCATCAACCCTAGTATTTTCAACACAGTTTTAGTTTTCATTTCACTCTGTACTTGTAATATTTGTATTGCATACCAATGCATATGCTTTATTTTATGAGCACTACAAATCATAGCTTAAAAGAAAAATGAATTTGATGTAGGTAGTCTAAAAGAGAACATTTCTCCACGTTTTTTGCTTTTTATTAAAAATAGGCTTCTAAAGCAGCCATTACATGTAGATCAGTGGTTGCCAATCAGAAATATTGATTTATGAATTTGATAATAATGTAGAATTCCTCATATATACATGATATATAAGCTTATTATTACCCTAGTATATGAACAACACGTTGCAAAAGGGTTTAGGAGGAAATAAAATTAAAAAATAAAATCCTACCACCCGCCCCATTTTTCCAAAATCTGGATGAAAATCTAATTAATTTTTGTTGGCCTTACATTGATTGATTGTTGGTTGCTTAACATAACTAAGTTACATATGAATTATGATAGTATGTTGAAAAAAAATTCACAAGGGGAGATAATTCATTTATAAATAATACTAACGACAATTAAGTTAAAGAATTTTTTTTTTTTAAGACCAAGAAAGTTGACAAATCAATTGTTTTGTAGCCACTGGTAACTGGATTGAAACTAATTTAACACTACATGTAATGGATTTTTTTCTAACATAAATCTGAGAGTCTCATTGATTCTAGAAATAATAGCAATTAACTAGAAGTAACAATATAATAGGTAAACACATAATATCTGTTTTAGACAATGTCTGTTTTTTTCTTTATACTGCAACTATAAACTGTTTTAAAGAAAACAACAACAATATTGAATAAGATGTGAAAGATGTAAATATTCTGCAAAATCCTTATAGATCAAAATTAAAAAAATAAAACATTATCAATGTCACAAACAAGGCCTTATACAGTCAGTGTTTAAACATTAATATGCCCTATGCAATTTGACTGCACAAATTAAACTGTTGCAATATAAATAGAAATAAGGATTTACAGGAATATTTGTGAATATTGTCCAGATTACATTTTTATATTGCATAAGCTTACAACTCTTTTATCGTATAGTAAAGCTTGAAAATAAGTGTAGAATATAATTTGTCACTTATTACATGTATAATTTGAAGCTATATTTGCACTAGTGCATTATAATAGAATATTGCTTGCTAAATTTTTCTTTAAGTTCAGTGGAAAATATTTTGTTGCTCTACAATAATCTTAAATGCCGACAGGGTGAGTCTGACTGATGTCATTTTTCTATGTTTGTTATCATTGTTAATCAGTAGTAATAAGACAACTAACACCTTTTAATAGCTGTTCCATAATTTGTTAATATATAAAACATATATTAAGGAATCAGGTAAAATGCTTAGCTCAAATACATCTATTTCATTTATATTTACTGCCTTCAATTTGATAAGCAAATAACTTTTTTTTAAAAGGAATACTTGACTACAGAAGGGGGATAACTCTTTTTTTATAACAGCTTTGAAGTAGATTCCTTGTACTTTATTCTAATGATCAAGTTGAGGTACACATATATCAGACATTGATTAATGAAACTCTATCATTGCTTTTGGGAAAAGAAATTATATGAATAGATCAAACTCATATTGTATTATACCATAGACATATAAACCCATTTATGATTATTAGGTCCGAGGACACAGTTGTCTACCTTCAATTTTCTTTGTCCACTAATGTAGTTCCTTTTAATTTCAGTGTTTTTTTTCCCCTCTTTTTTGGGGAATTTTTCATTATTTGTTTGTATTTAGGTGAAAGATAAGACTTCAAATATACTGTCTGAAAAAAATCTTTTTGAAATTTTCTGTAGAAATGAGTGATTTGGTCAGGTAAATAAAGGTGTAATTTCCTCTTCTCGGAAGCTCTCTGGCTTCATTCTTACCAGTGTCCTTATGTTTGGGGTTACCAGGAGAGAATGAGCTGGTAGACTTTTCTGAATTTTTGATATGTTTTGGGATAAAAGTCAAACTTAATGCACACCAAATCTTAATAGAATAGAGCAGGTGGAATTTTTTTTAACTGCCATTATGTTTTGATAGACAAAAAGGGAAAATAACTGTGTTCTCGGGCCATTATACTATAGAAAAATATTTTTACACAGAATGTGTTAGGTTAAGGGGAGATAATTGTGCAACAACAAGAAAATGTTATTGTTATTATTTCATTCTATATAAAGATAAGTCAACTAGCAGATGACACTACACTTTTTCTTAAATCAAAACTAGATATTTCAAAAGCTCTTAACATGATTGAAACATGTGGTTCACTTTCAGGATTAAAACTTAACAGATCTAAAACGAAGGGTATTTGGCTAGGGATTCCCAAAACACTTTTTATGCCCCCGCCGTTGCGGTGGGGGCATTAAGTTTTACCCTTGTCAGTCTGTACGTACGTCCCGAAATTGGTTTCCGTTCTCTAACTTGAGTTTGCCTCAACCAAATGTTATGAAACTTATACACAATGCTTATTACCACAAAACACAGATCAAGTTTGAATTATGGTGGCGTCACTTTAACCGTTCTAGAGTTATGCCCCTTTATAAATGGAAAAATTGCAAAATTTTTAGTTTCCGTTCTCTAACTTAAGTTTGCCTCAACCAAATGTTATGAAACTTATACACAATGCTTATTATCACAAAACACAGATCAAGTGTGAATTTTGGTGGCGTCACTTAAACGGATCTAGAGTTATGCCCCTTTATAAAAGGAAAAATTGCAAAATTTTTAGTTTCCGTTCTCTAACTTAAGTTTATCTCAACCAAATGTTATGAAACTTATACAAAATGCTTATCACCAAAAAACAGAGATCAAGTTTGAATTTTGGTCACGTCACTTTAACTGTTCTAGAGTTATGTCCCTTTATAAACGAAAAAATCGCAAAATTTTTATTTTCTTCTGAATATCAAGTTATTTTTAAAATTGGAGTTACCTTCTTTTGTCCATGATTATAGTTGAATCAACTACAATCAATGCTTTATACAATGCAATGTTTAATTTTGACTTCCACTGATAAAACACAGATCAAGTTGAATTTGGGTAGTGTCACTTTTACCATTATTGAGTTATACCCCTTTATAAATCGAAAGATTGCAAAATTTTGGGTTTCCATTCTGTAACTTAAGTTTGCCCCAGCCAAACATTATGAAACCTATATACAATATTCATTTCCACAAAACTAAGATCAAGTACAAATTTTTTGTTTCCGTTTTCTAACTTTAGTTTGCCTCAACCAAATGTTATGAAACTTATACACAATGCTTATTACTACATAATACAGTTTAAGTACGAAATTAGGTGGCGACACTTTTACCATTTTTGAGTTATGTCCCTTTATAAACATAAAAATTGCTGAAGTTTTAATTTTGTCTCAACCAAATGTTATAAAACTTATACACAACTGTTCTAGAGTTATGTGTGTTTACAAATAGAAAAATTGCTGAATTTTTAGTTTCTGTTCTCTTCTTAAGTTAGCCTCAACCAAATGTTATGAGACTTACACACAATGCTTATTACCACAAAACTCAGATCAAGTTCAAATTTGGGTAGCGTCACTTTTACCGTTCTTCAGTTATGTCCCTTTATAACTATATGATATGCAAGCGGGGGCATCATTTGTGTCCACATTTGGACACTATCCACATTTATTTTTTTATAAAATAAGTCAAGAATCTGTACCTAAGTAATTACAGGATTGGATTTTTTGTGGCTTTTGCAAAGAAAGATTATGGCTGTTTTTTATTGTGATTTGTACATGTATTTCATTTCTTCTATCACAAGTTTTTATAATTATTGCCTTTCGATTTTTTAAAGGTTTGCTCTTGGTGTTGGTTGGAGACCTAGTAAGCTGTGTTTGATACGATGGGAAATTTACAAAAAGTAAGAGCAACTTGAAAGGAACTATCACAAAGGAGCAGTCTATTTTCCTCAAGAAATATCATGTTCTGCTTGGAATTGGATCAGGTTTGCTTATTTTTTTGTTGTTCAAATTACCAGCTCACCTGGATCAAATGTTCATGTGAGCTAGTACCAATAACTTGGGTGTCTGTGGCTCTTTTCACAAAAAATCTGATGTACATGTCATTTTGATCCTAATACAGACATAAATTTGGTTTTTATAGAATGTGTCATTGAATAAAATAAAGTACCCTAGGTAAATGAGACAGAAACCCAATAACAAATGTAAACAAATACATCTTGAGGACAACATACAATCTTCATCAAAATACAAGTATATAAATTTAACACAAATCACCCAATTCTCCAAAGTAGGCAAAACATAAAAGAAATGACATGCAAAAACTTCAGACAATGTTCCTGACTTGGGACATGCATATAAAAAAGTTGCAAATTCAAACAAGTTAAAAAAAATCAAAACTTCCCTTTTTTACTATTGTAAGCCAATTAGGGCAAGGAGCCAGGAAGTAATTTACAGGCCCTGAGTACATGGAGTAGTGAATCCGTCCAATGAGCATTTTTATTTTTGAAATAAAAAGAAATGTTATGATACATGCTTTTTTGTTACAATTTTTAAACACCAGTTCTCCCTAAGGATCAAACTCATGAAGACATGAATGTTCACAGATTTTTAAAAAATTTTGTAGGGACACTTCATCTGGCAATAGTAATTCAAAAATGTGTTCAGATCTAAAAGAGTTGCTATGGTTGCTATGGAAACAGCATGTCATATTTCTAATAATGTAATTTAGACTAAAAAATCAGTTTCTTGATAAAAGATACAAATTGCAAAGACATTGTTCAATTAAATGAATATGCACTAAATAAATAATATTGAAATGGTCATATGAAAATATTTATTTGTCTTCATTTACCTTGGAGGTCCGATTGGTAGTATGAGAGCTCATTGTATAGGACCCTTCGATGTTTTTCTTAAAAAACTTAGGAATTTTCACAGGAAAAATATATTAATTGCACCAAACATCATTAACTGTAGTATAGATATTTTAGAATAAGCAACCAAAGACAATCAATTAAAAAAAAAAATTGGTGGGGTAAACATTATTTTATTTACAATAACCATTGAAATCTTTCAATTAAGCATCATTTTTGTCAGTTACTAGTATAAATAACTGCTCCTGCTCCACATGGTCCTGGATTTACCTGACAGGAGCCATCTGTAAATGCGATAGCTGTTGACTCTGAGCTTTCTCCTATCAGTTCTTGTACTACTTGTTTACTTTGGGCAGTTTGTTCTGCAGTTCTGTTTTTCGAGCTTCCTAATTGGCTCCAGTAGCTTGGCGCTCTCATCAGCATAAAGTCTACTCCTGCCTTGTAGGTAAACTCGGGTTCTATATTTTTTTCGGCTATATTTTTGGATTGGATTTTTGCTATTTCTCAGACTGAGATTTCTTCCATTCGGAGGTCGATTGGTTGCATCTTTGCCTCTACTTCCATTGCTTCTCTACTTGCTGTTCCTGGTAATCCGAGGCAGACTGATAATCCTTTTCTTTGTATTGCTTCCAGTTTTTTCACACTTTCCATTGATGTTATCTGCCAAACTGGGCATGCATATTCAATGATAGATCTCACCATGCTGTTATGTATCTGCAGAAGTTTTGTTCTTGAGATTTTTCCTATGCCTTTTATTTCTCGTATAACATTTAATGCATTGTTTGCCCTTTTCTGTACTGTATCCGTGTGTATATCAAATTTGACTTTTTCATCTAATGTTACACCAAGTAGTTTGGGTGTAGGACTGTATTTGAAGTTGAAGGAGTTGACAGTCAGAGTTTTTTGTGTTATATCTAGATCTTCTTTAGAGAAAAGACATACTTCGCATTTGCCCATATTGACATTTATCCTCCATTGTTTAGTCCATTCTAAGACTGTATTAACGTCCTTTGATGTTTTTTCTTTTAGTTCTTTAACATCGTGTCCTTTGTGCCACAATGTGCCGTCATCAGCAAATTTGCAATTTTGTCCTGCGGTGTTATCCATAATGTCTGCTATAAAGATGTTGAAAAGGGTAGGTGACAGAACTGACCCTTGTGGTAAGCCAATTTTTGTTTCAAATTGACTCCCAGAGAAATTATTCAGTATGCATCTGGCTGTCCTATTTGTGAGGAAGCTGTTTATCCAAATCCAGATTTTTCCTTTTATTCCAAACTTATGTTGTTTAACCATCAATCCCTCACGCCATATTGAGTCATATGCCTTTTCCAGATCTACTAGCCAAGCCAGAACCGATTCATTACTATTCAGAGCATCTATTATTGTTTGAACTAGTCTAAGAAGGGCATTAGTTGTTGAATGATTTTTTCTGAATCCTTCTTGGTTCAAGTCAATCAGTCTGTGTCCCTCTAAATATGCAACTATTCGTTCTAATATTACTCTTTCCATAAGTTTGCATATAATGCATGTAAGACTAATTGGCCTGTATGAAGCGGTGGAGTAGTAGCTTGTTTTTCCAGGCTTTCTCAGGAATTTTACATCTACGTTTTTCCATTCTGTTGGGATTTCGCCTTTTTTCCATATGATGTTCAACATAACTACCAAAGCCTCTATGAAATTTTCACCTGCATTTTTAAAGAATTCAGCAAATTGTTGGTCTGGCCCTGGAGCTGTCCCAGTCCGTAAGCGATATACTGCCGCCTCTACTTCTTCTTTGCTGATTTCTCTGTCAGGCCCATCCCTCTCCTGTTGTGATCTTGTTTCTTCTTTGTACTGGTTACTTATGTTAGTATACTCTTTGTTGATTTCTTCAAAGAAGTCGTTATCAAAAGAGTCTGCATTTAGATGACTGCCTCCGAAAAAAACGTTTTGCAGGATTTCTACTTTGCCCTGATTATCGAATATTGGATCCTTATTTGCAGCTATCAGCGGTAATACAGAGTTATCCTCTGTTTTTCTGGTTATTTTTTTATATGTGTTCCAGAAGTCTTTTGAATTTTTGGAATTGTTTAGTTCGTTTACCAGCTTGTTACTCCAGTTATCTTGTGCTTCTTCTTTTGCTTTATTAAGGTTGTCTTCAGCAATTATAAGTCTCTGTTTATTCTGTGGGATATTTCTCATTCTAAACTGTTTCTGGCAGTGATTAAGGTGTTTTTTAGCAGATGTTACATTACTATCCCACCAGCATGGTTTTTGATGTTTCCTTGGCTTGATTTCTTTGTGAGGAATAAGCTCTTCTTGCGTTTCACTGATAATATTTGAGAATATTATATTTATAAAAATATTCTGACTTTTAAGTGACATAAAAGATATTAAGCACACTTCAAACCATTGCATTTGATAAAAAAAAATTATTTTTATAGAAAATTTTGCTAGAATAAAATATTCTAGCATGCAAATATAATTTACCTTAAAATAGTTTCAGATAAAAAGTATATTATAGTTAAACATCCATATAGAAGTATTATGTGCAATTCTAATGAAAAATATCATTATCTGCATCACATATCAGTCAGTTGGTGAGTTTCACTGTGATTGACAATATAATTGCTAACTTTACAATAACATTTGGCAAAGCCATCAAGCAATTAATCTGTCCTCTGTATTATAGAATGAATAATTCTTTATAGAGTTAGTATAAATGCACTCAACTATTTACTGAAACACAAAAAGCCTAATTTATATTTATTTGTTGTGCCTCCTGACATACTGTTACTTTTGGGCTAATCCCCCCCCTATATTTTATGAAATATTTTGATAAAAAATGTGTAAAGTCCAGATATTTTTTGGTAAATCACCATTAAGGAAACAAATTCCCTTATTAAATAATTTTAAATCATTAACCTACTTTAAATAGTGCTTTTACTTTTTGATTTTTTTATAGCAATTTTATGTATGTGCATATAATATTTTGAACTTTAATACAATAAGAAGCAACAATTTATCAAGTCAACTTTCAACACTGCTGAGTTTTATTGCTTATATTTATTAACTTTCAATAAAATGTATCAGAATATATTATATATATTTCTTAAATTATTGAGTGTAACGTGTTTTTTTTTTTTTACAAACAGCTATCTGTTCAAACTGCAGAAAACACTTATCATCAGGCAAACCAGATGAACATGTTGAAGTTTCAGTGCCAAATGAGCAAATCCCTGTAGAGCCATTGTTAGAGGTATTTTGTATATTATTATTATAGTATATTATATATATTGATAAATAATTTTTAATTTGATATTTAATTGCATTTTATGCTATTAAGACAACATTAATTCAATTAGAAACCCTTCTGATTAAGTATTATTATTAGACCAAAACATATAGTAAAAAATATGGATGAGCTTTAAAAATACTGAATAATGTTATCAATTTTTTATACCAGACATAATGACAAAAACTCAGTATTTGGTTGTATCAGTTTCGCCTTTGATATTTATTTACTTAATAATCCTGATATTTGAATTCATCTGGAACTTGAAAGAATTAGTGAATGAATTGATGTAGATATTCAAAAAGGCAATCATACCACATCTTCTTATTAATATATATATATTGCTTAAAGTATCTTTGCTTCAAAAGTATTACAGTAACAGTACAAAAAATCTTGAAAAAAAAATAAATAGAATTGTGATAGGATTGCAAATGAGAAAACTCAACATTTCAAACCAAATGTCTGATAAGAACATTATATTTAGTAAAGGTTATACTATAAGGCTTTCAACACAGAGCAAAATATTACATACAAGAACAATAGACAGATTTAAATATATATAATTATTATATATATATATATATATTATATATAAATGTTTTATGTTTGGCTGATTTTACTCTATACCATTAAACTAGTTAAGGTGGCTGGGGCGTCTTAATTAAAATCCATAGAATATTTTAATAATTTGTCAAAATGAAGTTTTTATCATGCTTTTTTCAAAAATATAATAAAAGTATGGGTCACCGGACTTTTTTTCATGCTACAGGTTGTGCATAATTGTCAGATTTTGTATAGATTATGCATGGAAAATCCAATTTTGTGTGATAAAAAGAAAACTACACCATAGAATTTTAAGATAAAATGTGAGAAGATAGCTCTTATAACATGCTTTCAGATAAGAAAACGAAAAAATGGGGTCACCGAACTTGTTTTCTTGCTACATATTAAAATAGGTAAATTCACAACACTTTCTATTATAAAACTACTTTATCTGAGTTATCTTCCTACTATCTGAGTTATCTCCCCTTATTTGGCAAAGTTGAAAAAAAAATGAATCAAACACAAATATGGTGTTTTTTTAAGAAATTATATAGCCCGTAAATATGATAAAACACATAATTTTCTATATTTACATTAAAAGTCTTACACATGAATTACATACTACTCTCAAAATTTGCACATTTCATTAAAGATCTAGACCAATTGTTATCTGCTTCTTCAAAATCCAAGATGGAGGAAGACACCCGAGCTACCTTAATGTAGAAATCAATAGCATTTAACATAAATAATAATGAAAACTGAAAAAATGAATATAGCACAGACCTTCTAGAAACCCAAGGCAAAAAGGTTCCTTGTCACATGCAGCCAAGTCAAGTTTTTCATGAACAATACCAATAGCAAAACAAATATGTGAATAAAATTTTGAGTACAAATATGGTAGAGTTTTTAGTTCAATTATGTTAATGAAGCTCTCATTTCATTATCACTGTTATATGTAATTTTATCGTTTCAGATTGACTATGACAACAATTTAGCTTTAAACATTAATGGAGAGAAAAGAGAAGACAAATGTTATAGTTCAGATTCATGTAAAAAACTTTTGAATGATCACCAAAAGGTACTTTTCATTTTAACATTATTACAGATTATCTAATCTTTAACATTAACAAATAAATTTTAAAATATTGAATGGAGGTGTATTGGATTAACACAATAAGATGAAGTCATATCAATGAGACTACATAACCATTACAGAGAAGAAGAAAAATAAACAGACATATATATAAACAATACTTATTTAAGATTTTATGATTGTCAGTCTATTCATATTATAAGTTTCCAGAAGTTTTCTCTTGCATAAAATTGAGAATGGAAATGGGGAATATGTCAAAGAGACAACAACCCGACCAAAGAGCAGACAACAGCCGAAGGCCACCAATGGGTCTTCAACACAGCGAGAAAATCCCACACCCGGAGGTGGTCCTCAGCTGGCCCCTAAATAAAATTGTGTACTAGTTCAGTGAAAATGGATGTCACACTAAACCCCAAAACATATAAATGAACTAAAATTAAAAAACATACAAGACTAACAAAGGCCAGAGGCTCCTGACTTGGGACAGGCGCAAAAAATGCAGCGGGGTTAAACATGTTTTGTGAGATCTCAACCCTCCCCCTATACCTCTAGCCAATGTAGAATAAAGAAACACATAGCAATATGCACAGTAAAACTCAGTTTAAAAGAAGTCTGAGTATATAAACTTTTAAAGCTAGAATATTAAAAAAAAATGAAATGTAATTTTTAGACCACTAGCAATGGCAGTCATTAAATTAATAGAATTTCGATTTTGTGAATATATTTCATGTGTCTTTAATTATTATGAACATTATCAATCTACACTGATTGTTATGTCCTGCATATGATAGTAGAGGCCGACATTATGTTTTTTGGTCTGTGCATCAGTCTGTCCGTTCATTCGTTTGTTCATCTGTCTGTTTGTTTGTTTGTCCTTCTGTCTGTCTGTCCAACCAGATTCAGTTTTAGGTAAAGACAGTATGTTCCTAATGATGTGTTCTTCCTTAAATGTATGCCAAATAAGGGTTTTGACCCAAATGTTTTGGCTCCCTTATCATGAAAATAAAAAATGAAATTGCAATTGGGCATCAGTGTACTGTGGACATATTTTTCTTGTTATATGGCATTTGCAAAAGTGTTTCAAGGTGAGTTATCTGTTGAGTTGTAATTTATGTATGATTAGACAACCAATCCAGAATATATAACGTAAAGCATATTTTTCTTAGGAAACAACAACAGATGGTAATAGTCAAACAGAGAGTGAAAGTATGTGCTTTGAGACAGGTGACAGTCAATATTCAGAGGCATCAGTTTGTATGATGGACAAATTACAGAGGCTGAATTCCTTCCTGGCAACATCAGATGTATCACATGTGAAGGAAAATTGATTCCATTATTAGAATCTACACATAAAACAAAGCAGAGATGCGTGTCAAAAACACTGCAGTGTATGTCCTTAATATGTGAAACCATCTGCCCTGGAGAGGGAGACACTTTGAAAGATTTGATGTTTAAGTCTGTATTTTCGGCACATAAACCTGAAAAGTCCTCTACGCTTGATGAAACAGCACTAATACTAAAGGACACATATAATTCTGCAGAAACATGGACATTAAGAAGACAAATTATATCAGTCTTATCCAGAAATTACAGCTTTGATGAGGTCAGAGAGGTATGTTGCATCTTTTTTGCAAGTAATTTATGTCATTTAAAGCCAAAATATTTATTACATGTAATTTATTTTAATATGTGGCATTAGAATGGAGATAACTGCATTGTATTTTAAGCTTGGCCTTCGTAAAACTTAATTTTACTGTCGCAAATATCTGTTTACCTAGCTCCTCTACACCTTGCTAGGCAAACTCAATTTGCAACAGTAAAATCTACATTTTACGAAGGCCAAGCTTAAGATACAATACAGTTATCACCAAATTTTTCAGATATTTTTTTATTGATAAAATTTTTGTTGCTTTTATATCTATTTAATTTTTATTTTTTTTAGATGATACCGGATCTGACAAAGTACAGATTTTATGCTGCCAAACAGCACAGTGATAAAGTAGGTTGTGGCCTCCCAGTGTCCAGAGAAAAACTAACAAGAAACAAGATAGACATAGCAGAGTTGGAACACTTCATAGATTTCATCATCAGCTCAGATGTTGTAAAAGATCTGCCTTTTGGTATGAAGACTATGAAGCTAACATCTGGAGAAATAGTCAATGTTCCAAATTTGATATCAAGCCTTGCACCGTCATCCCTTGTTAACCAGTACATCCAGTTCTGTGATTCAGAAAATGTTGGTCATTTAGGTAAGATTATCAAGATAAATAAACACTTTTAAACATACAATTTATTTTGATTTGAGTGTCACTGATGAGTCTTGTATAGATAAAACTCACATCTGGCGTAGGAAAAATTATAAGCCTGGTACCCTTGATAAGTATTTAACACAGATACAGCTGTTAAAAAATTAAAAATAAAGGGCTGAAAAGAAATTGACAGTCATAGAAAAGTAAATTGCATATGCATGTATCTATAGTACTCTAGTATTGGTGGCTACAAGAAAAATGGGGAAACCTTGACAGCTAATGTGTGCTGATTTGAAAAAGACATTGCACACATAATATAGATTTTTCACAGAAAATAATGATGTCGCAGTCATTAATATATGATTTTATTCATAATAACATTAAAAAAATTGGTGTGTTATCAAATTGAAATTTATATGTGTATATCAATTAAAAGTGTACATGACTAATTTGTAATTGTAGGAAGAAGTACAATGTATAAGATACTTAATGACTGTGCTGCTTCCGTTAGAAAATGTGTTGAAGGACTTGATTATTACGTTGCAGAGGGTGGAAAGGCATTTCAAGATCTTGAAATAATCATAGGAAAGCTTAGTGCATCAAGTGAAAAGAAGAAAGAGTTGAAGTCAAAATTGCTGAATGGGAAGCGATACATAAAGTCAGATTTTAAGGTATTTTAAAACACATTGAATGTCTAAATTATGTTATTGGAAACGTTATAATTAAACAAATTGTCTGTGACATTTTAGCTTAAGTGAACTACAGTGTGAGCTAGCTGTAATTGTCACCCCTCACTGTCTATATATTGATACCATAAGGCACATTTGAACCAATGTTGGATGGAATTACTTCTTTGAAAAATAAAAAATTTCCAAGTTCACTTCAACTGGTAGGATTGAAAATAACTAGGACTTTTACCCAAAGCATTGTTCAGTTGAGCAATAGAGACTCCTGTTTTCGCTATTGATGATCTATGTGTTTTATAATTTAACCCATATGTTACTTAGTAATTTACATGTGATCTCTTTATTTTTTTTGATGTATCAATGCTATAGATACTAAATTAAACATCACAAGATTTATAAATGTCATGTAAAGTTGTGTATTTTTATATAGTTATTGTTGCTTTATGAGACAAATTTTTATTTTTCAAACAAGTACATGTATTCAGGATAATGTCATCTCAATTCCTAATATGCATTTATTTCATTTATGTTAAATGCTCATCAGTTTTCAAATGATGATCTATTTGTATGTTGTGCATGGGACAACAGATTTATGATGTTTCTGTTTATCCTTTTTCTTTCTTCAGTTTGTGACAAATCTTTCTAATGGTTTAGATTTTATTTAATCAAAAGGTACATATTCAAAAAGAGAATGCTGTTCCAGATCATTGCCAAATGTTTGCTCTAAATGATAGTGAAAAGTGCTTCTCCCAAAAATGTTACACCCAACATAAACACAGTTGTGTACAGTGTATTGACTTGGCAGATTTGTTAGCTGAAATAAGTACTCTAACACAGGATGGTACATGGGACAATAAAGATTCCATTGTATTCCAGGTGATTTTTATCAATTAATTTCAACTTCATTGACTAAATGGAGAAGTATACTAAGGAATTTTAATTTGACTTAGCAAATTATTCAATACTTTGGCCAAAACAAATACATTTTAGTACCAAAAATAATTTAAAAATTCCTTTTTCTCCAAATAGCCATCATAAAATTCAGTTACCTCCCTTGATAGACATGAAAAAAATATGTGATCAGTGGAATTGCCCTGACATTAATAGTATACATGTATGTAAGGGCTTAGGTTGTTGAATTGTATTAAAAAAGGAAGACTGTGTGTAAATTAAGAATTAACTACTTTTCTTTATACCATAATTAAATTTTCAGGTTGAAAATGCTGTAGAAGCTATAAAAGATTGGAAAAGTCATGCTATGAGAGCTAGGAATCAAGAAGGTGCAAGGCTAGATCTATTAAAGAATTTGAATGAAAATCAAGCACTTATCACATGTGACTGGGCAATGAAATTTCTACCATGCAAGTTTAGAGAAGGACAGTGTGACTGGTTCGCCAAACGTGGAATCAACTGGCACATTTCAGTAACTTTGTACAAACAAGGGGAAGAACTAAAGACAATAACACATGTACACATTTTTTCATCCCAGGTAATAAAAAGATATTGCTAGGTTTGTAAAGAACAAAACTATTAAGGGAGATAATTATCTATTATTTCAAGTTTTTAGCTTTTGAAAATTAATTCCTTCAGATATTTTATTAACTTTCAGAAATTTTTTGGTAATTGGAAAAATATTCATTGCATATAAATTAGGCTAATTGATATTTAATTTCAATATCAAAACTTTCAAATAAATTTTGTAATCTATTTTAATTTCTGTAAATTCAGAAATTATTACAAAAATGTGACTGTGTTGATTTATCACAATAATTCATAATAAAAGCAGGCAATTACTTTCTGAATTTACAATAAATCATTTTTGCTGCAATCAATTATAAACCCTGATTTCCCTTTTCTTTATTTCTGTATCAAAGTTGCATTCTTTTAACTTATTTAAAATACCAAATTTGAACCCCTGTACAACACAGATTAAGTTTGATTCAAATGGCTTGTTACAAGTAATATAACATTGTCATGATCTATTTTAGATATCTCAAGATGGTTCTGTTACTGCTTCTGTGGTGTGTGATGTAGTCCATGATCTGACAAAACAAGTACCAAACATACAGGAGGTGAACTTCTTCTCAGATAATGCAGGATGCTACAAGAACACAATGATGATGGTAGCCCTTAGAGCTGAACTGGGGGATAAGTTGAAAACGTACAACTTCAGTGAAGCACAGGATGGCAAAGGTAAAATGTCATAGTTTGCAACTCAGTTATTCAAAAGAAAAATCTTTCAAGTCAGCTTTTGATTGAAGGATTTTTGTGTTTTTTGTTGTCCTCAGATGGGAAAAGAATAATCAAAATTTAATTTTTGTAACCTGCAAATGAATTTTGTATTGTCCAAATGGTATACATGTATAATGGCAATTATTTTAAAGCAATTTTAAAGGTTGCCCTCTGTTTCTGATATTCAGATCATTGCATTTGTATAAATTGGCTAGTATGCAGAAAAACTCTTTTTTTGTAGTTTCTCACATACACAATTAATGTATATAAATATTGATATTGCAACCATTGCATTCTATGTAGTGACAGTTTACACATTTTTGCAGGTCCATGTGACCGCAGGGCTTCACATATCAAGGCATATGTTAGAAGATACATTAATGAGGGTCATGATGGCACATCTGCAGAGGAGATGAAAAAGGTAAGTCTGAATAAAAGAGTTTAAATTTAGTATATGACAATTTATATGCAAAGCTAAAGAGTAAGAAGTATATCAATTACAAAGAAATATAATGTGTTGTGATTGTATTGTCAATGAGACAACTCTCCACCAGAGATATATAAGCAACTAAAGTCACTATGACCTTCAAAAGAGAGCAAAAGCCATTACTGTATTGCATGCTTTAACAGGGCTGAAGCTAGTATAAAAACATTTTATAAACACCTTAAGAAAACTTACAACCTAATTAATGCACAACACAAAAATAGCAAAATAACAATGAATCTGACTTGGAACAGGCACAAATAGTATGTAGCAAGGTTTAACATTGCTTGCTAGTGTGAGTTCATTCCTTAACCTGTTACAGCTCGTATATAACACAGCTCATCAAAAGTGTGTACACTAGCTACAGTAAAAATCAATTAAAAAGGACATACCTCATCAGAACAACATAATGAACGACAAACAATTTACTAAGGACACAAAGTATCATTTGAGATTTGGTATGCATTAATTTTAGCCAAGACGTTATGCATAGTTATGTGATAAGAGAATTGGTATTCATTAGGCAAACCCAAGAAGTTATGAACAGTTATAAGCATAGCAATTCTATTTTTCATTTCTGCTTTTTACAGGCTATAGAGGTTAAACAGAAAGGATCATTTAGGGTTAGAGTCGTTGACATTGTAACTAATTTGGAGAAGAGAAGTCAAAGATTAAACCAATTACTGGAATTACACAATTGCATAATTTTTCCTTTGATGTCAATGGAATAACAGTTTTGAAGGCATATGGAATAGGAGAAGGTATTAACCAGAATTATGAATCAGAACTATGAAACTAACAAGTGGAGTTTTGTGTCCCAAAGGATATTATCTGCTTGTTTACCATTGTTAACATGGTTAAGGTGTACATTTAGTTAATTGTAATTTTTCATGCTTAAACACAATAGAGTGATGAAACTTCATCAGTTTACTGCTTGGACCTCGGTGGCCAATTGGTCTAGGTTGCTACTGTAATCACTAGCCAGTCATCACTAAGGTTGTGAGTTCATACCCCGATCATACAGGAATGCATTAGACACCAATCTATTGAATAGGATCGTCAGTTTTCCTATCAAATGTCAGTGGTATTTTCAGGGCACCCCTGCTTTGTCCATCAATAAAACCTGGTCGCCCCAAAATAGCCCTAAAGTGGTGCTTAAAGTGGCGTTGAAATACCAACAATCAAAAATTAAATCAAAATCAGTATACTGCTCCTGTGTGTCAATTTCTTCAATACCAAAACAACATTAGGTTATGAAACTTATCAGTGTAAGCATGGTTCTGATAAAGCCCTTGCAACAATTTGATCTATTTTTTATACGCCCGTTTACGAAACGTATTATGGTATACCGTTGTATGTCTGTCCGTCCGTCGTCAACATGTCGGACATTAACTCAAAAACACTTTAACCAATTTGCATAAAACTTTGGTGAATTGTTTAATTGTTTATATCTATTGATGTGAGCTCCCTTTTGTTTTTTATAAATTTTTGGATTTTACGTTTCCGAGTTATGGGGTTTTATTCATTAAAAAAAGGGGGATTTTCCAGTTTTCGGACAGTAACTCAAGAATGCTTTCACCAACGTGCAAGAAATTGTGGTGAATTGTTTATATCTATTGACATGAGCTCCCTTTCGATTTTTATGTATTCTAGATTTTACGTTTCCGAGTTACAGGGTTTTATTAATAAAAAAAACGAGTTACAGGGTTTTATTAATAAAAAAAACGAGTTACAGGGTTTTATTAATAAAAAAAGGGGGATTTTCCAGTTTTCGGACAAAAAATCAAAAATGCTTTCAGCAGTTTGTATGAAACTTTGGTGAATTGTTTATTTCTATTGACGTAAGCTCCGTTTAGAATTTTATAAATTTTACATTTTACATTTCTGAGTTATGGGGTTTTATTCATTAAAAAAGGGGGGATTTTCCAGTTTTCGGACAATAACTCAAAAATGCTGTCAGCAATTCTCATGAAACTTTGGTGAGTTGTTTATATCTATTGATGTAAACTCCCTTTACATTTTCATAAATTTTAATATGACATTGAGAATTAATTGAACTTTATTTGTTTATAGTCTGACAACAGATTTACTAAGTTTTGCGCAACAGCACAGTGTATTGCACAACAGCAAGAAATCTTTAATTGAATATAAATTTTCAACTTCAAGTCCAAGTTCTTTGACTATATTTATTCAGAAACCTATAATATGTCAAATATTTAATACAATCCTATTTCAGACCTGTATCAAGCTTGAATATTGTGTCCATTTTTGCCCCAACTGTTCAGGGTTGGACCTCTGTGGGCGTATCCAGCTGCACTCAGCGAAGCAGTTTATTATACTTTTAAAGTAATGTCAACTAAAGTGGTTACTTGGTTTTCATCTTGATAACTATGAAGTAACTGTTCAAATATAAAGTGTCTTTCATGCGTGATTTTCACAAATTTTGTCACAGTATTTCTGTAACTAGTTGTTGCAATACAATGAGATTGTAACAATTTGACAATTGGAAATGGTGATTAATTAGTATATAATTTTTTGTAGGAAAGCGAATTTCATGGGACAACATTGGAACCACAGAGCAAAGAACCAATCTGTTGGTTAAAGTTGATTGGACAATTGCTGCTCCTCAGTTGTTGGAAATAGAAGGTAATCAAAGTTTTAAAAATAACCAGTTATTCAACTTCCAGCTAAATTTCATTTTATTTTTTACAATTCATTTAAACAATTTAAATTAACTCAGTAGCCACAGTAATTAACTGTTAAACCTAAGAGTTGCATATTTGGAACATGATTTTTTTGGTTCTTTTAGGTGTAATACCACCAAATCATAGTCCGGTTGCATACAAAAAAGGGTAAAAAACAAATATTCATTTGAATTTGACAGTTGTAGGAAATTTATCCTACATTTCATTGCAGTAAAAATAAAATGCTCCGCTGGGGCACAGCTTGATACGACCGCAGAGGTCGAACCCTAAACAGTTGGGGCAAGCATGGACACAACATTCAAGCTTGATACAGCACTGAATTTGGATTGTAATTAAATATTTGACACAGCATAGGTTTCTGACACAGAATGAATGTGGTCTAAGAACTTAAAAATTTTTAATTTACCTATTCAAACCATATCATTATTATTTGCTTTTATATATAAATCAGAAATAACCAATTTAAAATGGAAAATTTTAAAGAAAAAAAAGGGAAAAAAATTCCCACCCAAAATTTTTTGAACCCCCTTATGATTCATCACCCCCAAACTCAATCCCAGCCTTCCCTTTGTGGTATGGTACCTTGCAGTACAATTTTAGAAAGACCCATACACTTGAACACAAGTTATTGTCTGGAAACTAGAAAAATGCTTGTTTTTTGGCCCAAAATTCCTAAACGTTTAGGGCAATTACCCCCAAACTCAAACCAAGCTTTCCCTTTTTCATAAAGATCAATACACTTACACACAAGTTATTGTCCTGAAACTAAAAAAATGCTTGTTTTTTTGCCCCTTTATGGCCCCTAATTCCTAAAATCAATCCCAGCCTTCCCTTTGTGGTATAGTACCTTGCAGTACAATTTCAGAGAGATCCATACACTTGAACACTAGTAATTGTCTGGAAACTAGAAAAATGCTTATTTTTGGCCCCTTTTTGGCCCCTTCTTCCTAAACGTTTTGGTTTTGGGCAATTACCACCAAACTCAATTCCAGCTTTCCCTTTGTGATATGGAACCTTGTAGTACAATTTCATAAAGATCCATACACTTACACACAAGTTATTGTCATGAAACTAGAAAAATGCTTGTTTTTTGCCCCCTAATTCCTAAAATTTGGAGGCAATTACCCTCAAAATCAATCCCAGCATTCCCTTTGTGATATGGAACCTTGTGGTACAATGTCAGAGAGATCCATACACTTACACACAAGTTATTGTCATGAAACTAGAAAAATGCTTGTTTTTTGCCCCTTTTTGGCCCCTTATTCCTAAAATTTGGAGGCAATTACCCCCAAAATCAATCCCAGCATTCCCTTTGTGATATGGAACCTTGTAGTACAATTTCATAAAGATCCATACACTTACACACAAGTTATTGTCATGAAACTAGAAAAATGCTTGTTTTTTGCCCCCTAATTCCTAAAATTTGGAGGCAATTACCCTCAAAATCAATCCCAGCATTCCCTTTGTGATATGGAACCTTGTGGTACAATGTCAGAGAGATCCATACACTTACACACAAGTTATGTCTGGAAGTTACAAAAATGCTTATTTTTGGCCCCTTTTTGGCCCCTAATTCCTTAACTGTTGGTACCATAACCCCCACAATCAATCCCCACCTTCCTTTTGTGGTATTGAACCTTATGGTAAAATTTCATAGAGATCCATTCGCTTAAACTAAAGTTAGAGTGCGAAAACCAATGTGTCTTCGGACGACGACGCCAACGTCATACCAATATACAATCTGTGTCATAGACATATATCTTGGGTGTTTCAAAGTAACATTATTTTTTTATTTGGTGTTTTTATAGAATATTTTGGAAACTTGAGGTTACATGGTTATTAAAGCTTGTACACAGGAAGAATAAGGGTGAAAATTTGATTGGTTAACTTCCAGTGATGGTTATTTTCTTATATGCAATGAAATGTTATGTGAAATTTTTTCTGTAGTACTGGACATGATACATCACCTGTTTATTGTACTTGTAAAAGAGTTAACTAATAATTACAAGATAAACACAAATGTAACCTCAAATTCAAGCAAAAAAATGTAATATTGTGGAAGAGTCAGAACAGAAAATGATCCAGACAACAGCGGGCATTTTGCATGCTTATGATTTCTTAATCTGTATTTTCTATGGAAGGTTGGACTGAACAGTAAAAGTAAAGGCTACACATTTTGCATGTTTCTCAGTAAGAGAATTAATGCAGTTGACTGTGATTATTTATTTTTAGAATTTCATCATATTTATACACTAAATAAAATTATAAAATTCTGTTTGAAAATAATAAGTATTTTTTTTAACAATTTCAGTTATGGCACAAGAAGAAGAACTTGTTGAACCAATACGAAAAAACAAAAGAACTCCATAAATCAGCCATATGATTGCCCAAAAGATGGCTGCACAAGAGCTTTTAAAACTCAATGTGCACTGGAGCAACACATCATTGTTGGTAATTGTGATTATCACAATGAAAAAACAACTCAAGATAAAGCAAAATCAATGTATGGGCAAAAGGTTAATTCTTTGTTTGAAGGAACAAGGGTTCAACTTGATTGCAACTTAAGTGACTGCCGTACTTCAGAATCGGGAAGTGGATGGGCACTGAAGAGTAAAAAGAAAAGAACAGTTTTTAGTCAATCCAAAGTGAACTACATGAAGGAAAAATTTGATATTGGGAAGGTATCGGGTAGAAAAGTGGATCCATTTCAAGCAGCTGATGAGATGAGACAGTTGCAAGAGGAGGGGAAATATGTATTTTCCAGGAAGGATTATTTAACTGGGCAGCAGATAACAGCCTATTTTTCAAGGTTGGCACTTAAAGACAGAAAGACCGACCTTGAAGATTTCAGATCTGCCGAAGAGGAAACTAACAAAAGATGCCTTAAACAAGAGATTTTGGACAGTGTTTCTTTATAACTGTGATCAATCACGACAATGAACAGTTTCTCCCTAGAATTATATATATGCTCAATCATCTATTTTCAATCAGCAAATATTGTATCACATGTTTTTAGATAACACATATATATAATTCAGTTTTAATATATGTACTTTTATGTTTTTTTGTTAATTCTAGTATGAACATTTAAAGCCAAATCTCATTTTGTCAAGGCAAAAACTTGTTGAAAATTTGACCTTGACCTTTAAAAGTTGACCTGAAAGTACGCTTTGAACCTTTCTTAACCTCTAAATGACATATCCTGATTTACTGACTAGCTGAATTAAAGAAAACAATTCAATAAGACCTGTTATAATACTAGACTAAGACAAGACAAAATATTATTTTTCTATATTTGATCATGTAATTTCACCTTAACCCTTGACCTTGAATTTTGTGGAAATGACCTTGGTATTTGACCAGTTTGATTAATAAAAACTAATATATAATGTCCTTCAAGTTATCCTTAATATTATCCTATTAATTGAAGGTAACATGAAGAAAGTTAAAACATATCGGGAAGTGGAGTAATTTTTTTCTAGTTATTTTTTTTTTTATTTTGACCTTGACCTTCGATCTTGATTTTTTGAATCTGGCAAGTCTTATTTGGATTTCTTTCTTTATAGCAATAAACAATGTAAATATATATTATTAACATTAAACAACAGCCAGGAATATCATTGGAAATCTACAAATTTTGTCAAAATTGTAAATATTTTAGATCTTTGACATTGACCTCTGACCTTGACCTTTGGAGTATTGATCTTAAATTCCTTATCAATCTTTTGCTTTTCATATCACTCATTTGCCTATCCTTTTTGAACATTTTGGTTAATAATTGAAAGTAAAAAAATTAAAAAAAACATTACTTTGATATGTGTCAAATGCAGAAAATTTGCAACTGGGTGGGGGCTTTTTGGGGTTCATGTTTCACTATAAATACTTCTTACCCCACTATATTTTTTTTTATTTTGGACAGCATAATAATAATTTTCTTTAAAAAGAGTAATAACTTTATCACTGATTTGGTGCATTTTTATATATCAGCCCTAGAAAACCATTCAAAATTTAACATTTCAAAAAAATGAAAAAGGGGGTGACCTTCTATATTTTTTTTATCGTAAGGAAATATTGAAATTTATCAATAGATATATTTATGTCATGATTAAACTTCATTAAGTTCATGTTTTCTTTGTTACTGCCCTATCAGTTATGCATAATGAGAATTGAATTACAGAAAATGGCAAAAAAAAAGGTATTTTTCCATGTAAAATGGACGAAAATAAGCATGAGTGGTTACCATGGCAACCATACTGAAACTTTGAATGTTTATATCGTTTAAGTTATTGTAGGTTGGTTATAGATTCTGTCTACAAGTATGACCCAATTCAGAGACTATGCATGTCTGGCCCCCTCATTAAAATTCTGGTCCTTACAGAGAATTCTTCTTTAAAAATTTTCACTTTCAATTTTACAGGGATGTATTCCAGATGCAGAAAAGAACTTGTGCAAAGAATGGCAGAGAAGGAAAAAAGATTTGAACCACATGTAAGTAAAAACAAGGACAAGAAAATTTGCTTAAGTTCTATTCCTATCAGAAAAAAGAATGTTCTGTGCTCTTTTGCTTATAATCATTACCTTTAAGTCATTATTTTTTCTAGTAGAAATCACCCAAAAATATTGGCCTGCTTTTGATTATTGGAAGCAACATAAATATCAGTTTATCTTTATAAATTGATATTTATGTTACAATAGTAAACTATACCACCTATATTAGATTTGTAGGTGTGCTCCTTCATACAGTTTCCTACTGGATACATGTCATAATGGAACTTGTTTCAATTCTTTGACATAAAAAATCATCTTTATTGGTAAATTTAGTTTTAATATAGATAGCAAAACATGATGACTTGACTTTAAAATTATGAAAGGTTAATGCTACAATTGCGACATATTTTTTCTTTCTTTTAGACATCAATGAATTTGATACACCTTCATGGAATTTTACGAAATTTTGACAGAAGCTTCTTCAGGATCAAATGATAGTATCAAGAGCAAAACTTTGAAAATATTTTTTTCTGAGTTTTCCATATTTCACTAAAAATTAAGTGACCATAATTTTAAAAGGTGAAACACCTTTAAAAAGTAGATAGACGACCTCTCTCTTTTTTTTATGAAGGGTAAAAAAACTAAACTTATGAAATTGTTTTTTTTCGGTAATTAGTCTTATATCTCATACAATATCTTCTGACTTTAATAGCTTAAAGCTGAGATGAAGGTATACATATAAATCCTATAAGAATTGCATGTATATGGTAATAAAATAGTTGAAAATGTTTTCTTTTACAGATTTCACAAAATGAAGCTCATGGAGAAGTAACACAATGCAAACAGACAGCCAGGGGTGCAAAAGAAGCTGGAAATATTCAGATTGATGAGGTTAAATAGTCAATGTGTTCAATCACATTTAGGTAGTCATATATATGATAAACCATTTTGACGGAAGACTGCTTGCAACTGTTTACACCAGGTTGTCTGCTAAATGATTGACATTAAAACAGGAAGCAGGAGCAATTGTTGAAAAATTAGACTTTTGTCTTGCTGGACACAAATTGCTAGTAAAAATGTCCATGGTTATATAATTTGCTATTGTTTTAAGCTCACCTGGCCCACAGGGCCAAGTGAGCTTTTCTCATTACTTGGCATCCGCCGTCTGTTAACTTTTGCAACAATATTCTCCTTTGAAACTACTGCACCAAAGGAGTAGGGCCACGAAGGGTTAAAACGGCCCTGTCTCAGAAATTGACGAAATTACTGCAGAAGGATCACTAACTAGTGTAGTTCATAAAACGATAACCATTAGACTTGTAACTGTGTTTGTATAATTTTCCAGGGCGTCAGAAAAGACCAATGTACAATGGTATTTTAGCCATTTCGCCATGATTTGCATGTAATGTTAAAAAATTATTTTCATTAACGTTCTAGTAACTTCATAATCATTTTACCACAAGATTTTTTTTACAAAATATTTCATGAATCTCGTCCATATATCTTGTTTTTTTTTTTTTTCACTCTATTAACAGAAACTTACTAATATTAAGGTTTAAGCTGCACATAAGCGCTTCAATTAAATTTTGTATAAGTGGCCCAAAAACTCGCTTTCTGTATTGATATTCACGAAATAGAAATTGCAGAGACTATGTAAACATACATAATTCTATAGCATAGATTGAATTAAAAGTCATAAAGGATTTTAAAACATAAGCAATGAATGTCTTCTATTGGAATAAAGGAATTTAGATTGAAAGCTGTAAAATATCTTGGTGAGTGAAGTACAGTCGTAAAAAAGTATGAGGATAGTTGATCACACCACATCATCTTATTTGTATATGGAAAGAAAACCGTGATTCACTTAAACACAGATAAGTTTATTTTATAGTAAAGAAGTAAAAGATGAAAACACAGATAAAGATAAACATTGTGTATATACAGTACATAGCATTGCATGTACTTCAAAAAACATAGAACACATTATAATTGTACAAAAGTCATCAGACACCAGATCCACACGTGCACTTATAAACATCATTCTCATTCCAGAGGATTACATGCTTACTCTCAAAGCAACATTCAGAATTAAACACTTGAATGAACAATAATTTCATATAATACTGCCATTCATACGTCACTGTCCACATTACATAGTACTGCTCTCTCTATTTGTACCTAAAGCACATGAAATATGTAGTCACCTGTAAAAATTGAAATATAATTCTTTCAAATGGTTCAATGAATCCTTTTTATATTTTCCCAGAACTTTTTTACTAGTCAAAGTAATAGTTTAAAGGCAATGGCTATTTTGCCGGCGCCGCCAAAATTGAAAATATGCTATTTTGCCAACTCTCGGTAAGCGGAAGCCAGCATGCCAGTAAAAAAGATTTTGTTAACAGATATGCAATTCAAAACTGACTATTATTTCAAAACTAAATTTAATTTAAACATATTTGATTTTGAAGCTATGTCATTGATTTTTTAGACTATAACATTTTTATCAAATCGATATGCTATGAGATTTTTGTCTTTCATTTTTTTTACAGCATAGTTTAAAAATCTGAGATTTTATTCTTATGCATACATGTAGCATTAGACTGATTTTAGAAGTAATTTCAACTACATGTTTTGATATGATTTCATTGCTACAAATGGATGCTCAATAGTTTTTATTTTCATTCCTTTTTACAAATTCTTATTTCAACTTGGACTCATATATGTTTTTAAAAGATTATATGTATCTTAAATATTGTGACATTTATCTTATTCAACTATATGTAGAATAATAATTTGATTCTTTTATGTTGACAATGCACATTTTCGTAGTATTTTTCACAAGTAAATACTAAACTTCACTCTTTACAAAGAATTGGCAAAATAACAAATTCACTATATTGCCGGCGCCAGCAAAATAGTGATTGCTATCGAAATATGCTATTTTGCTTGTTTTAATTAAGATATTCTAATCAAAGACGACTAAATAGCATATTTTCTATTTTGTCGGCAACTGCCTAGTTTAAAAAACTCAAAAATTTGACAGAATACTCATTCTCAGTTGTCCATTGTGGACGATTTCATTTAGCGATTTAGCTATATTCAATTAAATTTATCCGACTTTTGCATGTTTCTATCAATTACGTTTTAAAAGAACAAATACTTCTTTATTGTATGATTCGTGTTCTCGTTAAAGGGGCATTAGGTACTAGATATAGAAAAAAAAAAGATTTTTTTTTGTTCAATCATTACTGAAATGTAATAGTGAAATAATAATTCGCTTTTAGAAGCCAGTTTGATTCAGTTTTGTCAAAATAACTAAAGAAACAACGCTAATGAATTATTCACTTGCAAGTGGATAATTCGACCTCATAAAATCCGTATTCATGTGAAGTTCAATTAAACCCCTTAGCTAGAGATGGGTTACGCGTGAACTAGGCGTGTTCAGGTATTAAAAGAAAAAGAATGTCAACATTGGAAGTGAAACAAGGGTAAACTCTTTGGTTGACTGATTGGATCTACAAAAACTCATTCTTATACAGGTAAAAACGATTATTAACATACTGATTTAACCTACAATATCAAATCAAACAGACCTAGAAAAATCCAATTGCACGAGTTTTCTATCTATTTCTATCTTTGTTTATGTTAATATCAGGTAAGATGACCGTCAGCAGTCTTCAGAAGGTCGCCTCAATGGTTAATTAGATGGCGTCTAGACTAAAATACACACGAAATGCTGATACAGACTATCGAGTTTATGCATCGTAAATTGTTTGTTTTATACTTTTTTTAATTTGGATATACGTTTTAGTATGTTATAAGTCGAATATGAGAATTTGAGTAAAACCAGTGAACATGAATTTGACAGCTAATGCCCCTTTAAGTTTGTCAATTTATTCTTAATTAGCTTTTTCTTGTAATCTTAACTAGTCTTGCTTGTGGTTAAAGTGTTCCGATATTCCACATACAACTATCATTCTTATCTCGAAAAAAGTTGGAGTGTACTTTGTTATTATTTTTATTATCATTTGGTCAAATTAAACAGATTCATGCCTCAATTCCGTATGAAAAAAAAAAGATGTGATATTATTGCAAAGAAGACAACTTTCAACCAGATACCGAATGACGTGCATGGATTCGTTTTAAAACTAATAGAAATCCTTGAATATCATTTTTTTTTTTATTTAGCATTTATTGTAACGATATAAATGTATGTAAGCTGCGTCCATTTGAGTAATGTATTATCTATAACTATAATTAATATACAAGATCAATTATTTTTGTCTAAAAGGAGACGTGGTATGATTGCCAATGAGACAACTCTCCACAATGTTTGTTTTCTATAAAGTGAATGAAATGTGAACTATTTCTCATGGATAAAAATGTTTTAAAAGTTTTCAAAAAGTTTGCTTAGTTGCAAAAAGTATGATATAAATAGGTTTCAAAAAGACGAGCAAGAGGAATACTGAGATAAACGTCAATGTGACAGCTACCTAACAGTGATAAAATTAATATTCTATTCTTCAACTACACTCTGCTCACTGTCACTTTCGTCCATGGCATGTGAGATAAATGCTGCATCTTCAAGAGAAGCTCCTCAATTCTGGACTCCATGTGTGATGTCCAGATTATGTCTTGTATACCCAAGATACCAGAGTCTAGAGGCAATGTGCGCAAATTAACATGTTCTCGTCCGGAATATGCATCTAACTTGCCTCTGGACGTTAAACAGTCATCATTCATCATGCGACAAACAACTCGTGTAGTAAAATGGTGTGTTTCTTTGATATTCAATATTCCTTTTTTTTTCTTTTTTTCCCAAAAATCTTTAATCATTTATTTAATAATGTTTAAAGTCATTATTGTACTATAACTTTAGAGGAGATATGATTGATAGTTGTTTGACGAACGTCCAGTGGCAAATACTTCATGCATATTTATGACGGAGAGCAATTTAGAGAAACTATATCAAAGAGAAAATTCTCCTAAAGAATCATAAGACCAATAAAATCCTACACACCATGAACATATAGAGGTGATAAATAAAAACAGCAATAAAAACTAGATTTGCTATTGCAAGCAATAGCGGAGGATGTCACCCTGTACTTGACATTGTCACAGTAGCAGCAACCATTTTGAGTGTACCAAAGTCAATGTCTTTGATCTCCCCCCTCCTTTTAAAGACAGATGCCACTTTGGCAGATGACCAGGAATATACCATGAAAGAATCATGGAATTTGACCTCCCATTATAAGTGAGTAAATGCTACTTTTAAGAATTTCCCATAGGGGCTAATGGTAAATGTTTCTTCAGTTTCCATGGTAATGGCAGCCATTTTGGAATTTCTAAATATGGTCAGCACATCTTGGAATGCCAGGCTACATTCCACTAAAGTTTCATCCAGTTGGGTCTCATAATGAAAGATTTAATGGATTTGCAATTTTTATTTTTTTTTCACATTTTTTCTGTTTCCATAGTAACGGCAGCCATTTTTTAGTTCCAAAGTTGCACTGCAACTCGAAAGTCATGGTTCCTTGTTATAGTGCCCCATCATTTAGATTGGTTCCTTTGGCTCCGAGAAAAAGGGCGGACAAAATTAGGTGGAAGAAAAATAATAATAACTAGATTTGCCATTGCAAGCAATAGCGGATGTCACCCTTCCCCCATTGACACTAAGCGGCTGCCATTTCGAAAATTTTAATAAGTGAATGCACATACATGCATTGCTATACATCTTTCTGTAAATTTTCATTACATTTAGAGCATTTGGGAATTTTTCACATTCATGTCGTTTCCATGGCAACGGCAGCCATTTTGGAAATTCTAAAGTCAAAAGTCTCATCTATACTTGCCAGTCAACAATCATCATAAGTTTCATTAAGTTTGGAGCATGTTGAATTTTTTACATTTTTGCTGGTTTCCAAAAAGTTGGTGATCCTTGTTATAGTGAACAATCGTTTGGATTGGTTCCATTGGCTCTGAGAAAACTCCCGGACAAAATTAGGTGGAAGTATAATAATAATAATAATAATAATACAGAAAAAGAAACAGAGGAAAAGCAATATGTCACCCGACATTGTCGATCGGGTGACATAATAATAAGGAAAAAGAAACAGAGGAAAAGCAATATGTCACCCGACATTGTCGATCGGGTGACATAAATATAAAACAGGTAACTACAGATTGAACATGGGCCACCACAAGAAACAAAAGAATCAAAAATATAAAAATATCTCATAGATAATTTATTCATAGTAAGCAGCCATATTTGTTGGTCGCTTGTAACATAGTCTCACTCAAATTTAATAGAGACCACCAAAAAGGGATCAAATAAACAATTACTCCTTGTATGCATTCTGACCAATTATGCATGCTATACCACGTAAATATCAGATATTTATTTGAAGTTATCCAAGCTACATGATTGTGTCGGATAGTTTTGTTTCATCTTTATTTCAGTTTTCATTGAAAACAAATAATTGTTCTGGTTGAATGTCACGGACAGTATACACCATGCCCTCTCATGGCTTCGTAATTTTTATTTTAATTAAAGGAATATTGAAAAGCTTATTTAACCACTGTGCAATATGATATCAAAATTCTCACGTGGTTTCTTCTTAAGTCCTATGATTTTCTATGTATATTATTGTCATAGTTCTGTAATTTATTTACACCATCCGAAGTAATTATTTAAATTTAAAATGTTAACTTCATGCCATACATGATAGAAAAATGCGGACGTGCAAGAAAGCACTTCATCAAAGCGTCAACATGAGATTACATTCCACGGAGGTTACATTTCGACGATTTCATCTTTAAAAAACAAAATACGTGTATCTAAAAGGAAATTTGTATTAAATTTTTATGTTGGCACCCATATCGATCTGCTGGATGTAGAATTTTACGGAAAAAAACTACGGCTCTAATTTAAAACTGTCATATTTTTGTTTGCATAGCACAGGCCGGGCTCATTATTTCAAAATAACGTGGAAATGAACTTTAAAATAATTTGCAAATTCATAATTTTTATTTCCACCAATTTATTAGTCTTGTTTTCTAATAAAAACAGTTATGAGGACGTATCTATCCGTGTTAAATACCTCGCTGGATCGCTAGAAACAAAGACTTGTTATCCATTTTCTTCTTTTTTGTTTGTTATAAATAAGAAAATAATAAATTATAGAAATTATTCTATTTATAGCAATTGTATAATTATTTCGTCACAGAATCTATCGTACCTCGGAAATGGCGGCATTGAATCAGGATTTGCTTGTTAAGTCACCCAAACGAAGTTTGGGTTCGTTTGGGAGACTTAACGTTTTTGCTCAGTTATTATTATTATTATTATAATTATTCTTCTTCTTCTTCTTCTTCTTCTTCTTCTTCCTCTTCCTCTTCCTCTTCCTCTTCCTCTTCAGCCGCTTTTAAATTTGAACTTGTCCGCACCCGTTCTCCAAAACCGCTGGTCAGATTAACTTAGGGTTTCACAATATGTTAGACTAACATGTCTAGTGGTGCAATCAGGGTTTTGTTTGTACAATGGGGTTTATAAAGGGTACTTTGAGGGGCAAAAAGAAAGGAGGGTTTTACTATAGAACCCTATGGGATTTTATTTTTTTAAATTCTAAATGATAAAGCACATTAAATGAATTACAGGGTTAGTCCCAAGGGGTCACCCCCACCCCCTGCCATTTAAGAAAGTTCTAATATCGTGTATGTGGTCAAGATCCCCATCCCTAATCCATATATATTCTGGTTTGTCATGCTAAGATGGTTTGAATGATATACAGGGTTAGTCCCCAGGGGTCATCCTGACCTCCTGCCATTTGAGAAAGTTCTAATATCTTGTAAATGGTCGAGATCCCCACCCCTAAACCATATATTCTGGTTTGTCATGATAAAGCACATCAAATGAAATACAGGGTTAGTCCCCAGGGGTCACCCCCACTCCCTGCCATTTAAGAAAGTTCTAATATCTTGTAAGTGGTCAAGATCCCCACCCCTAAACCATATATATTCTGGTTTGTCATGCGAAGATAGTTTGAATGATATACAGGGTTAGTCCCCAGGGGTCATCCCGACCCCCTGCCATATGAGAAAGTTCTAATATCTTGTAAATAGTCAAGATCCCCACCCCTAAACCATATATATTCCTGTTCGTCATGTCTCGAACATTTGAATGACATATAGGGTCCGTCCCAAGGGGTTCCCCAACCCCCAATGTTCTAATATCTTGTAAATGGTCGAGATCCCCTCCCCTAAACCATATATATTCCTGTTCGCTATGTCTCGACATTTGAATGACATATAGGGTCAGTCCCCAGGGGTTCCCCCCACCCCCAATGTTCTAGTATCTTGTAAATGGTCGAGATCCCCACCCCTAAACCATATATATTCCTGTTTGTCATGTCTCGAACATTTGAATGATGTATAGGGTCAGTCCCCAGGGGTTCCCCCCACCCCCAATGTTCTAATATCTTGTAAATGGTCGAGTTTCCCATCCCTTAACCATATATATTCCTGTTTGTCATGTCTCGAACATTTGAATGGCGTATAGGGTCAGTCCCCAGGGGTTCACCCCACCCCCAATGTTCTAGTATCTTGTAAATGGTGGAGATCCCCACCCCTAAACCATATATATTCTGGTTTGTCATGCCAAGATGATTTGAATGATATACAGTGTTAGTCCCCAGGCATCACTAATGCATATAACTTTACTGGACCAAACCCATTTTCACTGGACTTTGCCCAATGTCAGGCGACCCTTGGAATTACGAATGATGGGAGCTTCGTTTGGGAGACTTCGTAACAGCATCCTGTTACAATCATTTTTTTATGTTTTTCAATGTTTTTAAAATAGCAAAAGTTAAATTTTCGATGTGGCCACAGGCCTCGACCACGCTAAATATTGTTGCAAACTGAGTCAAAGTGTCAAACAATCAAATAAGAGTAAAATTACTTTGGTCGAGGCCTATGGCCAATGGGAAATTTAACCAGGAAGTGTGAAATTCTTTAAGAACTTGGACATTTTGAGCATTCCGGTTTGATTCCGGGTATTACGTCACATTAATGACATCACAAAAATATGATTTTATACTATAATAACAAATAACGATATACGTAGATATTTTTTAGCTATAAAGGATCCACCTTATTTCTCTTTTATTTTTTTGTCACCTCACAGGGCCAATATCGGCACTTCATGGCCATACTCCTTTAACCAAACTTAGCCACAATCCTTATTTGGGTATCTAGTTTAAAATATGTGCCCTATGATCCCGCCTGCCAACCAATTTGGTGACATGGCTAAAAATATGCAAGTTTTGTCTATTATTTTGAAAACCTTTACAAATAGAGAAAATCTGACGGTTAAAATGTTCAGAATGTTGAGCTCTACCAATTGTTAATTTATTTCAAAACTGTAATCTATTATAGGAGTTATTGCCCATAAATGACAAATTCTACCATTTTTTTCATTTTTGCCTTTTATCTTGAAAACTATAATAGATAGATGTCATGAATTCTATTCTTATCTGCAATGTTGGAGAGAGTCCATTTGTTTATTATGTACATAGACCTAGGTGAGCGACACAGGCTCTTTAGAGCCTCTAGTTTTTATACCAGAGGAAATCTAATTAATGATCACAAAAATATTATTAGACTTGAAATAAAAAACATGCCAGAAAGAAAACTTTCTCAAATGATTTACTCTTCAACCATATGAAATGAAAATTCTTGTTTTAACAATTTCAATGTTTTCTACTGTTTATTGAAATAAGTAACAATTAAATCATGTTGATCATACTATATTTGAAACAAACAGTAACTTTTAACAGCAGCTAATATGTTGTGATAAGATTTTCTGCTTCAAAACTAATTGAGTTTGATCTTTATAGAGGCATGCAATTATCAAAGTGGTTTGCAACTGAGTGTGTTTCTAATCATCAATTCTATCAGATTTATAGTCTCCTTTAGGAGTTTGATATGTTTGAAATTGGAAATTAAATTATTTATATCTATGTTTCAGGAATATTTGCAAACAGACTGCATTAGCAAGGGTAGCATGGATGAATGCATATCAGAAACTGTGTATTCACAGTTATCTCAATATTCAGAGTGGCAAGATTCACAGGAAAGTCCATCTAGAAAAAGGAAAATTGCACGGAACACATTTATAGAAACATTAGATATAAGTCCTGTGAAAATGACTTTAACTGTTGACTTTGATCTTGCATCTGAGAGGACAAAAATGATTATGTCAGGAAAGCAAAAAGGTATATTGGTTCCACAACAGGAATCACTATTAGAAGAGGCTCTATATGAATCTAATGCATGCAAAGATAAGACTATTGAGTCATTTTCAGAAGCATATATAGTAGTATGTCAAGTTGGGGAACATAGAGACAAATTCTCTCTCTGCTAGTACAAGATTACAGTTGTAATCAACTCAAAGACTGTATTCCAGGTTTATCACGATACAAATTTTCTGCTGCTCGCAAACATGCTGAGGTTGTTGGTATTGGCAAGCCAGTTTTACAGAAAAAATAATTAAGAAAAAAGGCTACTGTTCAACAGATAGAAAACTTTTTAGAGTTCATACTTTCACCGGCTATAATGACTGATTCACCATTTGGAGAATGCACTTATAAAATCTTGTCTGGTATTACACTCAAAGTTCCTAAGATTATCTAAAAAGTGTACATACAAGAACAGTTACACTGTATTTGAAGTATTGTGAAAAAACCCAGTATGCCAATATATTCTTTCTGAAAGGACTTACATGAGCCTATTTGAAGCTATTGAGCCTAAATTAATATAATAATAATGCCGAATCTTACCAAGTATTTAGATTAATAATTTTAGGGTCTGTTTTCAAATTGGTCCACTTTAAAGTCCAAGGGTCCAAAATTAAATTTTGTTTGATTTAAAAAAGAAAAATTTAATTCTTGGGGTTCTTTGATATGCTGAATCTAGCCCTGTATTTAGATTATTTTTTTTTATGCAAAAAAGAAATCTAAAACAACATGCCTCTCCCTTCAAATTAAATGGTCAGTGCATGATACTAGATCAAATAAGAACTAAGACCCCTTTGCTGAAAAAGTACCTGTACACCTGATTGGCCTTAAAAAAAGGGGCACAGATTCATAGTTTTAGTTTACACAATCATGATGATATCCTATTAAAAATCACACATAATTTATTTTTATTTTTATTTACAATTTTTAGACAAACAGGCGTTGACCAGTTAGCGGTTTCAGTGGATGCTGGTTGGCGGAAAAGGGGAAGTGGAAAAGCATATGACAGCTTGTCAGGTGTGTATCTTTATAGAAAAGAAAAGTAGGAGTAAAAAAAATCAATGTTTTGCTATGACTATATGCACTTTTCCTCAAGAAGGTAGATATCCCAACCTTGTAGGTAAACAATCAGTTTCAATTTACAAACTTATTCAAGACAGGTTTGATTACAAAGTTCTGTTCATAGCATTCATGTACTGTTTGATACTGTAAATTCAGAAATTATTGCATGCATTTATTATTTCGATTTTTGAAGGATGGACAAAAATGTGAGATAAATTATTGCAATTTCAGGAAAATCTGCATACTGATATATGTATCAGATATCAGAATGCAAGTTCTTATTATTGTGTTACTCATTCACTCAGTCGCATAATTCCCAAAAATAAAAACCTTGCAATAATTTCTGAATTTACAACTATTTTTATGAATGAATTGATGCTGTAGCTGTTGTCAGTAATCTGTTTTTACGCCCGTTTACATGACGTATTATGGTATACCGTTGTCCGTCTGTCTGTCCGTCTGTCCATCCATCGTCAACATGTCGAACATTAACTCGAAAACGCTTTAACCAATTTGCATAAAACTTTGGTGAACTGTTTATATCTATTGACGTGAGCTCCCTTTCGTTTTTTATAAATTTTAGATTTTACATTTCCGAGTTATGGGGGTTTCATTCATTAAAAAAAGGGGGATTTTCCAGTTTTCGGACAGTAACTCAAGAATGCTTTCACCAACTTGCAAGAAATTGTGGTGAATTGTTAATATCTATTGACATGAGCTCCCTTTCGATTTTGATATATTTTACGTTTCCGAGTTACAGGGTTTTATTCATAAAAAAAGGGGGATTTTCCAGTTTTCGGACAAAAAATCAAAAATGCTTTCAGCAGTTCTTATGAAACTTTGGTGAATTGTTTATATGTATTGATGTAAGCTCCATTTAGAATTTTTATAAATTTTACATTTTACATTTCTGAGTTATGGGGTTTTATTCATTAAACTTAACACTCGTAACTCCTATTGTGCGAACCAAAACCTACGGCAATAGAAGATTTGATCAAGCAGCGGCCATCCTTTGGAATGCATTACCAAAAAAACTTCAAAATGCAAAGTCGGTGCCTGTATTCAAAAAGAACTTAAAAACTCACTTTTTTCGACAAGCATTTTTAATCCCTTAAATTCGTTTCTGTGCCATAGACGTTAGCCTGCTTTTGATTTATCGAACCTTTCTTTTAACTGGAGATATGTTTCATTTATAATATGTACATTGTATGTTTTTAGTAGCACACATATTTTTCATTTCAGTAATTATATTTTTACATGGTAATATTCCTTTTTCATCTTTTGAATACGTTTTCAAATTTTTAACTTATATTTGATAATTTTTAATAGCAATCTTATTTTAGACTTTTTTGGCTATTTATTTTACCAACTTTATTCAGTATAATTTTATTTTGATTCATTGATATATATATTCCACTTTTTTGTAAAAATTTCCACATTATTAATCCTTTTATCTAGAAAAGTTTTAACACTTAAATATTTATTTTGTGTGTTCATGTTTTATATTTTTATCACTGTCTGTGTGTATATTTCGTTTAACATGTGATGTAAAGCGCTTTGAGTAATATTGTTTTAGATTTAGCGCTATAGAAAAATTGTAATAATAATAATAATAATAAATAAAAAAGGGGGGATTTTCCAGTTTTCAGACAATAACTCAAAAATGCTGTCAGCAATTCTCATGAAACTTTGGAGAATTATTTATAGCTATTGATGTAATCTCCCTATTGATTTTCATAAATTTCAAATATGACATTGAGAAAAAATTGAACTTTATTTGTTTATAGTCTGACAACAGATTTACTAAGTATTGCGCAACAGCACAGTGTATTGCACAACAGCAAGAAATCTTTAATTCAATATAAATTCAATTCATATAACCAATTTCAAGTTCTTTGACTACATTTATTCAGAAACCTATAATATGTCAAATATTTAATTACAATCCAAATTCAGACCTGTATCAAGCTTGAATATTGTGTCCAGTTTTGCCCCAACTATTCAGGGTTGAACCTCTGCGGGCGTATCCAGCTGCGCTCAGCAAAGCAGTTTATTGTGTATGTTACCGATGATAAATTATAGACAATTTTCATATGTAAAAGGGAGGTTTGGTGCATCTTAAAACCAGATTTAACTCATCATTTTTACTTTAAAATGTCTGTTACCCAGTCAAGAATATGATGATTGCCCATGTAGAAAATTTGAATTCATAGGTGAAAGTGCACTTTGAATTGCCTTTCGTCTATATGGACTTTCTGCTTTTATCATATAAAAAAAAGAGATGTGGTATGATTGTCAATGAGACATCTATCCACCAAAGTTTAAATAAAGTGGATGTAAGCAATTATAGGCAACAATACAGCCTTCAACAATGAGAAAGACCCATACCGTATAGTCGGCTATTAAAAGCCTAGACATGAAAAATATGAAACAATTCAACTGAGAAAACTAACGGCCTTATTTATAACAAAACAATGTACGAAAAACAAATATGACAGATGTGAACCAACGACAACCACTAAACTACAGGCTCCTGACTGATCATGTTCTGTTTTGATGTCACACTTATTGCAACCCATTGTTATTAACAGGTTATTGCATTAAAAAAATCATGCAATATTTTATACAGTCTTAGGGAGTTAAGTAACTAATCATTTCAATTTTAGAACACTGTTCAATGATTGGAAAATACACTTGTAAGATTACCAACTACAAAGTTTGAGCAAGATCATGTAGGGTGTGTTCAAGTGCATCAAGCAGAAATGAAACTGCTGAAGATCATGACTGCAGAAAAAACTGGGATGGTTCAGCAAAAGCCATGGAGCAAGATATGACTGTGGAAATGGTCTCTGAGTGCAATGAAAAGGGTTTTAGAACAGGAACTGTTATAGGAGATGATGATTCAACTACAATGTACTATAGCAAGACTGAGACGTCATGTAGATGCTAACATAAAGAAGATATCTGACAAGAACCATGTGAAAAAAAACTTTAGTAAAACTCTGTATAAACTTCAAAATGCAAACAAAAGCTTGACGTCTACAATTAATCAAATACCTAAAGAAATGGTTTAACTATGTCATTGCACAAAACCATGGAAACGCCATTGAAATGGAGAAAGGATTGAAATCTTTATCAAGGCACCCCCTTGGAGATCACAGCATGTGCAACAAGTCCTGGTGTCATTTTGTAACAAATCCACAGGAGGTCTACAAATCTTTATGAATGGAAAACCCATACAAGATCAAAAGTTGAAGGAAACATTGACAGAAGTCTTTGATTCGTATATCAATTATCTTGAGGGTTATTAACTTTGTAATACTTGTGGAAGAAAATAACGTCTTGCTAGTTGAGATGCTTTATGATCGTAAGATGATAAGATACGTAACAATAGCGTTACGTTACATTACAATAGTGTGCGCGAAAGTACGGGAAACAATTACATAACATAACGTTCTTAAGTCTCTTGGCCTATATTCACGACATCAATCATGCAGAAAAGTTAGCATCATTAGGAAGCACACAAGCTAAGGAAAGTTTTAATAAAACAGTTGGCTCAAAAGCACCAAAATCTCATCATTACAGTGGATCAGCTAGTTTGAACTACAGGGTTGCTGGAAGTTTATTGCAAAAGAATATTGGTTACACATACGTATCATTGGTGAGAATAAAGGTTAATTTCATATCACAAACGGGAAGGAAAACTTAGGAATATGCAAGAAATTGTAAATCAAATAAGTTGAACATATGCAAGAATACAGTAAAAGATGTAGCAAATTTTAGCAGTGATGACACAAAAAAAAAAGAAATATGAGCACCATTGATCCCAACATCAATTGGGGCTCTCTGAGTGAGTAAGCCATATCTGCCACTATATAGCTACCAGCCATGGTGCTCATAAACTTACCCAACCAAATATACTTGAAAAGCATCAGAAACAATGTACATAGTAGATTTTTAAGAGTAGAAAAAAAAAAACATTAATGGTTGGGGAGAAACCCAGTTTTAGAACTGTGACATCGTGAGCCGAACATTTTTAAGTTTGATATAACAACTTTGAAGAAAAAAGGTGGCAAATGATATTGCCAAAAAAGAAAATTAAGAAAGTATGTTTTTTTATGATCATCTTGTAAGGACTTAATTTGACTTGTGACTTTTTTAATGTCATTCAGATTACCGGGGTATTGATAATAATAAAAGTTACTACAAAAGAAATCAGTTAAGGCCATCAATGAAAATATGTTTGTTTCCTAAACCATCTATTGCTTAATTTAATGGGTCAGTCGGTAGGCATATTAATGGGAAATTTTTATTCTAATTTAAAAATCTTTACTCATTTACTTGTATAAAAGTGAATTGCCCAAATAACTTCATATTGTAACGTTTTCATTTATATTCCAGGTCCATAAACGAATGGGATTGTCTACAGGAGCACATACCATGCGCCTAGCAAAACTGAAAGACTTACAAAGTAGAAAGAGAAGAGCAATTGCCACTACAAGAAAAGCAAAGATAAAGAGACTTGCACTCAAATCTAAAAAGTATGTTATAACAATTTTCACTTTGTTTGCTGGTTTTTGACGGTTTTATAAAAAAAAAAATATTAGGGGTAGAAAGTTTTGTAATGATCCATGTGTACTTCACTCAAATGTAAACACAACAATGGATGAGTCTGATCAATCTTTTTCTTTATTGAAAACACTATGAATAAAATGTATTTGTGAACAAATATATATTTGCTATACAACAAATTATACTGATAATTGTCATAATCTGATTTCTTGTAACATGTGTGACTATAATCATGATTGATACCATGAAAATAATTGTGGAAGTACAGATGTCAATTTTTATACCCCCGCCGTAGCGGAGGGGGCATTAAGTTTTACCCTTGTCCGTCTGTACGTACATCTGTCCGTCCGTCCGTCTGTCCCAAAACTGGTTTCCGTTCTCTAACTTAAGTTTGCCTCAACCAAATGTTATGAAACTGATACACAATGCTTATTACCACAAAACACAGATCAAGTTTGAATTTTGGTGGCGTCTAGAGTTATGCCCCTTTATAAATGGAAAAATTGAAAAATTTTGATTTTCTTCTAAATATCAAGTAATTTTTGTGGTCGTATATTGGTATGACGTTGGCGTCGTCGTCGTCGTCGTCCGGCGTCGTTCCGAAGACACATTGGTTTTCGCACTCTAACTTTAGTTTAAGTGAATGGATCTTTATGAAATTTTACCACAAGGTTCAATACCACAAAAGGAAGGTTGGGATTGATTTTGGGGGTTATGGTAATAACAGTAAAGGAAAAAGGGGCCAAAAATAAGCATTTTTGTAACTTCCAGACATAACTTGTGTGTTAGTGTATGGATCTCTCTGACATTGTACCACAAGATTCCATATCACTATAGGAATGCTGGGATTGATTTTGGGGGTAATTGCCTCCAAATTTTAGGAATTAGGGGCAAAAAAAGGGGCAAAAAACAAGCATTTTTCTAGTTTCATGACAATAACTTGTGTGTAAGTGTATGGATCTTTCTGAAATTGTACTACAAGGTTCCATATCACAAAGGGAAAGCTGGGTTTGAGTTTGGGGGTAATTGCCCTAAACGTTTAGGAATTTGGGGCCAAAAAGGGGCCAAAAAACACATTTTTTTCTAGTTTCCAGACAATAACTTGTGTTCAAGTGTATGGATCTCTCTAAAAAATTGTACTGCAAGGTACCATACCACAAAGGGAAGGCTGGGATTGAGTTTGGAGGTGATGAATCATAATGGGGGTTCAAAAAATTTTGGGGGGGGATTTATTTTTTTTTCCTTTTTTTTCTTTTTTTCCTTTTTTGTTTCTTTTAAAATTTTCCATTTTAAGTTGGTTATTTCTGATTTATATTTAAAATCAAATAATAATGATATGGTAGGAGATAAACACCAAACAGGATGTGTAAATTATTATATAATAAGTATTGTGCAATAGCAAGAAATTTTCAATTGCACAGTATTGCACAATAGCAAGAAATCTTCAATTGCACAGTATTGCGCAATAGCAAGAAATCTTCAATTGCACAGTATTGCGCAATAGCAAGAAATATCCAATAGCACAATATTGCGCAATAGCAAGAAATTGTCAATTGTACAGTATTGCGCAATAGCAAGAAATATTTAATAGCACAGGATTGTGCAAAAGAAGATACTTCCTATAAATTGCTTATTTCTTGACCAATTTCAATGGGGTTTTATTCTTGATTTCATGGGGTTCTTTAATATGCTGAATCTAACCGTGTATTTAGTTTTTGGATTTTGGGCCCCGTTTTTAAATTGGTCCACATTGAGGTCCAAAGGGTCCAAAATTAAACTTTGTTTGATTTCATCAAAAATTGAATTATTGGGGTTCTTTGATATGCCGAATCTAACTGTGTATTTAGATTCTTAAATTTTGGTTCCGTTTTCAAATTGGTCTACATTAAGGTCCAAAGGGTCCAAAATTAAACTTAGTTTGATTTTAACAAAAATTGAATTCTAAGGGTTCTTTGATATGCTGAATCTAAACATGTATTTAGATTTTTGATTATGGGCCCAGTTTTCAAGTTGGTCCAAATCGGGGTCCAAAATTAAACTTTGTTTGATTTCAACAAAAATTGAATATATGAGGTTCTTTGATATGCTGAATCTAACCATGTATTTAGATTTTTGATTTTTGGGCCCCGTTATCAACTTTGTCCACATTGAGGTCAAAAGGGTCCAAAATTAAACTTTGTTTGATTTCATCAAAAATTGAATTATTGGGGTTCTTTGATATGCCGAATCTAACCGTGTATTTAGATTCTTAATTTTTGGTTCCGTTTTCAAATTGGTCTACATTAAGGTCCAAAGGGTCCAAAATTAAACTTAGTTTGATTTTAACAAAAATTGAATTCTTAGGGTTCTTTGATATGCTGAATCTAAACATGTATTTAGATTTTTGATTATGGGCCCAGTTTTCAAGTTGGTCCAAATCGGGGTACAAAATTAAACTTTGTTTGATTTCAACAAAAATTGAATATATGGGGTTCTTTGATATGCTGAATCTAACCATGTATTTTGATTTTTGATTTTTGGGCCCCGTTATCAACTTTGTCCACATTGAGGTCAAAAGGGTCCAAAATTAAACTTTGTTTGATTTCATCAAAAATTGAATTCTTGGGGTTCTTTGATATGCTGAATCTAACCATGTATTTAGATTTTGGATATTGGACCATAATAGGTGAATGTCCAATTTAAAATTTTTAAGTTCTTAGACCACATTCAATCTGTGTTAGAAACCTATGCTGTGTCAAATATTTAATCACAATCCAAATCCAAAGCTGTATCAAGCTTGAATGTTGTGTCCATACTTCCCCCAACTGTTCAGGGTTCGACCTCTGCGGTCGTATCAAGCTGCGCCCTGCGGAGCATTTTATTTAAATTGGAGTTATCTTCCTATGTCCATGATTATAGTTGAATCAATTACAATCAATGCTTTATACAGTGCAATGTTTAATTTTGACTTCCACTGATAAAACACAGATCAAGTTGAATTTGGGTAGTGTCACTGTTGTGAATTAGTTAAGTTTCAGTTTAGTCTATTTTATACTCTTTTATTTGGTTAACGTTTTACCACCATTTTTACCGTAACAATAGCCCCGAAACGTCGTCACTTGCCGACGTCTCTATGTATACCATTGATTCCAAGTAAAGCATACGAAACATTGAACACGCCTTTGAGTTTATAGCCATTACTCGTCTTTAGTATCTACACGTTTCAAAACATTGGTGCCGTGACGAAACGGAAGAGTACGGAAGATGAGTACCGGGACAATGAAGATGAAGACCAGACGAGCTGGACATCGGGGAGTACTAACAAAGTTGCTGAAGAAAGTGGAACCGAGTTCCGAGGAACTTTTGCAGGAATATGACGTTAGCGAACTTTCTACCATTCGAGGACTTATTGTTAAGAAGCAGGAAACGATCGATCAACTGAATGAGAAGGTTGTTGAGGAACTATCAGAAGACGAAGTGAGCGAAGAAATAGAGGAAGCCGACAGATACATGTATGACATAGAAATGGCAGTAACCAAACTTTCAAAAATCATTAAGGAATCGGAAATCACAGCCAAACAGTCAAGTAAGTCATTGCTTAACCCAAATGCACACAAATTTATTAATATGAATCATCAAGAAAGTCAGCCACAGCCCAGTTTCATACACGCAAATACATCAGCGTCCGTTTTTTCAAACTCCAGCATGTACCACAAACTGCCCAAATTAAATTTACCAACGTTCGGCGGGAATATGTTGGAATGGCAACCCTTTTGGGATTCGTTTAGTGCTGCCGTACACGAAAACTTGTCTTTAAACGTCGTACAGAAATATAATTACTTAAAATCTCAACTATTCGGAGAAGCCACCCAGTGCATAGCAGGTCTACAAATAACTAACACAAATTACTGACAAGCACTACATGTACTAAAACAAAGATTCGGTCAACCACACAAGATAGTGCATACATACATGCAGAGTTTAATCAGCCTTCCTAGTCCAACGTCAAATATTACACATTTGAAAAAATTCTACGACAGCATGGAGAACTACATCCGTGGCCTTGAAAGTATAGGGGAGTCTCCCGAATCGTTTGGAAGCCTTTTAGTGCCTATAATATTAAACAAACTACCCGGGAACATACGAGAAAACATGGTACGTGCTGTCGTTACGGCAAGCTATTCAACATGAGATAATGATTAAGGAAGCGGGTCAGTTGGTAAACGGTGATGATATAGAGCCAAATTTCACGCCCATGTCAGCATTCTTTACAGGTACAAATGGCAACTACGCTAATCAGAAAGGAAAAAGAGACATAACCAAGAGGCCGTGTATCGTTTGTCAAGGAGTTCACGCCCCATTAGCTTGTAAAAATGTCATGGAAATTGAAGATCGAAAACGCATTGTAAAGGAGAAACAGGCATGTTTCAATTGCTTAGGAAATCATAGAATTGCGGATTGCAAATCAGATAAAACGTGTAAAAATTGTAACAAACGACACCATACTAGTATTTGTTCAAAGAATGAAACACACCTCCATACCAAGTCTAAACCTATAAAAGATAACAGTACATCAAAACCATATACCGATGCCGCAGTCGCAAGCATGCATTCAGCGACATCATCCGGCAGATCTCAGGTATTATTGAAAACCGTGATAGCACCTATCACATATGACAAGACACAGTTTACATCAGCTAATATACTATTCGGCGAAGGAGCTCAGCGGAGCTTTATTACTCAAGAGATGGCCGATTTATTGAATCTGAGACCACATAAGAAAGAAGCGATAACGATATCCGGTTTCGGTGAATCCAACAAGAAGGTTAGAAATCTACAAATTGCTACTATCTATCTAAAAGGTCTGATGAACACGCTAATCCCTATTGAAGTTCTTATAGTACCACAGATTGCTTATCCAATACATACATACGCAAGGAACCAGTCGAGTTTTCCGCATTTGAATGGA